ACTACGAACATGACGGTAGTCAGAGCAAAGATCGACATTAACATCCCGCGCAAACGTAAGGGCAACGTCACTCAGCACGAGAAGGGCCTTCTGAAGTTCTTCGACGCCGTTATACAGGCGATCATCCGTCACGTGAACTTTGACGTCGTCAAGTGCGTCATCCTCGCGAGCCCCGGCTTCATTAGAGAAGAGTTCTACAACTACATGTTCCAGCAAGCAGATAAGGAAGGCAACAAGGCATTGTTGGAAAACAAACCTAAGGTAATGAAAGTGATACGGAATTTGTTTGGTTTAAAATGCTTGGTCATATATCTGGAAAAAGCCACGTGTACGATTCAAACGGTGCTTGTTAGCATTGTGAGAGTTAGCAAGGGAAAAGGTTAAATCCGTTTATATCATGTTTGTTCCTGGATATATGCATTTTTTACAACCAAGCGAGTATATAAATTTATGCTTACTTTTAAATTTACGTTCATTATTTTCACTATAACGAATAATAGATATTTGTTGGAGCATCCAGAAAGAAAATGTTAAGAAAATGAACGACGCTGAATGATATAGTTTTCGCACTGTATGCAAAATGCCAGGTTGATGCACTTCGTTAGGCTGTCCGGCTGTGTTTATTGTGATTATCACCTTGAGCCGTTTCCATAATTTTGAAGTCTGTGGTTAATGTAAATGGTATTCCACGCATTCTTAGCTTTTCAACTATGGCACCGGTTACGGTTCCGTAAAGGGAATCGCTTCCTCTCTGAACACAGGCCTACTTTTATCATTAGTATTCATACGGTAATAAAAGCAATTGTTTATTCAATGTTGAGTTAAGTATAGAGAGAAAAGTGAATAAGGCTATTTTTTAAACCTGTCTCCGTAGAGTACAGTAGAAGGGCTCTGCCACAGGGAGCAAAGCATTGTAAGGAACCACATCATACAATGAGAAGCAAGCACGATCGTCCGCACAGAAGCTACATGACTTAAAACAAATATCTTGGAAACAGTTAAGGCAAAACGGACCAAAAGTAACCATCATGAACAGTCTAGAATACTCCCTCTCTGACACGACTGAATTATCAATAAATGTTAGCTATTTCTTTATAACCGTACTGTTTCCCTAATACTGTCAACATTCAAAATCCATCAAGGAATTTCACCATCCCAGCATCAGAATAGTTGGTCATCCAATAAATAAGTACAACCACTGGATTGACGCTGTTAGTAGGTATATCGACATTTTCGGATGTATTATCGTTTCTCATCTTGCCCCGAATGCAACTGGTTGCGCGATTCCTCAATCTGGGTCAAACTAATATTTGTAAGTTTTAATCCAAACCCGGTATTTAGACTTTAGTTTATATTTCTTTTAAAGAATATCTACATTGAATGGATAGACTCCTTTGCTTAATTGAAAAGCACCTATATCCCTAGGTTTTCTGAATTATGATTCGAGGCAGTAGTTTAAATGGACGAAATAAAATCATTCTTGATTGATGGATGAATCACGACGACGCGCACCATCGTAATCAGGAAAAAGGATGTAATTCTGCTGTTGACGTTTACGTCCGCTGTAGAACTGCATAAATATGTAGAAAAATTTTACATAGTCTTTGTACCCTATCGCCTTTAACTGTGGATCAGAAAGCGAGGATGTAGCAGCTTCTGTTTACGTCAGTTTTACTCTTACCGTAACTGTTGTGCGATGTTAGCTTTTTTAATCATTTCAGTGGTGTTTCTAGATAAACATAAACAAAGATTAATACTGTTATTAATACTGTTCTTTTCTTTTTCAATGTACGGAAATTTTATACTCACGTTAATGTAGATTTCGAGCAGTTTCTCTATGCACAGTTTACATTCGATGAAATATGTACATAATTCCATGTATGTGTTCTATTATTTTCATTCATTTCCCTTTCACTCATCTTCTTCATCTTCAGTGATCGCTTCTAATTTCGGGTCGCGGAGGTAGAAGCGTCAGACAGTAGTTCCGACGTTCCCGATCTTGTGCCAGAGTCTGAGCTTTGGCAAAAGACAAATGGAGTCTGGAACAGACTCCTTCCGTGTGTTTGCACCAAGTTAATCTCGGCCGTCCCCTGGGCCTTCTGCCGGTCGCATTCGCAAGGAACAGTTGTTTAGCCTTTCTTTCTGGAGGTATTCGCAACACATGCCCAAGCCATCGCAGTTGTGACTTCTCACTGTGGAGAAGCAGAGGCTGTACACCAAGACTCATCCGGATATCAGTATTCCGGACCATGTCGAGACGCATAAGGCCAGCGACTCGTCTCAAAAAGCCAATTTTACTCGCTTGTACCCAGCATCGAAGTTTTTCAGTGATGGTCCACGACTCATGACCGTAGGTAAGCATGGAATAGAGATCGACTTGAACACCGAGGGCTTAATTTTCAGACTGAGCTCTGCTTTAGTCACAATGGATCGTGCTAGTTCAGTAGAACGCCATTGGCTACTCCAATTCGCCGGTCGATCTCTTCCTCCAATTTTCCATCACTAGTAAATACAG